TTAAGAATATAATAATACTTATTGCAATAATTGCATTTGGTATTGCATAGTCCATTGAGATGAGACGTGCTATATAGTTAATTACTTTATTTTTACGTGCAGCACATCCAATTATTATTGTAATACTAATCGAGAGTAATGCAGTAAAAATGATAAACAAACGCTGTTTGCTATTATGTTGTAAAATCTTGTATCATAGAGGAACACACTCTTTTCTATGCTCCAATATATTAACGGAATCATTTGAAAAATAAAGCCTATCAGTATAGGTAGTGTACACACGATATAAGCACAAATTAACGGTATAGAGCCATTTATATTGCGTTTTTTGTGATAAGCTGAATTGGTATTTATAGATGAGTAGGATATACCTTTTTTTTGCAGACCTTTTTTCCAAGACTATTAATACTATAATAAAGGACAATTCTGCGATTGCTAAAATAGTAGCTGAATATTTATCTTGTAGTAAAAACCAAGTGCGATATATTACGATTGTAAAAGTATCAATCGCGAGGAATTGTGGTGTGCCAAAATATGTGATGAGCTCCATCATTATCAATGATAATCCAGCCGCGATAGATGGGCGTACAGATGGTATAACGACAGAAAACAAATTACGTAACGTAGAAAACCCAAGTGTTAATGCAACAGTAACTGAATTACTAACATTCTTAAGACTTGAACGTACTAGCATGTAAACATATGGATACAAAGTAAATCCCATGACTAATACCCCACCGCCAAGGGATTCTATTTCTGGAAACCAATAATCATTTTGCTCCATTGGAAAATTCCTTCAATAAACTTTGCACTGGACCCGAAAACTCGAGTGTATTTACGTGCACAAATGCTACTATGTAGCCTGGTATCGATATTGGAAAAAACAAGGCAATTTCAAAAATTCGACTACCAGGAAATGAAAAGAATGTGGTAAGCCAAGCCGGAATTATACCAAATATAAAAGCTACACCACCAACTCCCGTCATTAAAATTAATGTGTTGAGTATATATTCAGGAAGGAGTGTACTGACTATCCACTCAGAATTTGCTGAATTGGTGAATGGAATTGATATTAATGATAATATGGGGGAGATAAATAATATGCCGATCAAAAAACAAGAATATATTTTTAATGCTCTTAAAAACATTAACTGAGATTTATAGTTACTATTAAAATGTTATATGTAAAAATTCAAGATACAAGGTCTATTTTATAAGCATAAAGGTTTAGCATTTTCTAGTGCAAGTTGT